AACTGGAGTTAAGGATGGTTGTGAACTACTATGTGGTACTGGGAACTGAACCTGGGTCCTCTGCAAGAACAGCAAGTGCTCTTAACTGAGCTATCTCTCCAGCCCAAACATTACATTTATAATCAGATCCGGGGAATGGGATAAAGTCCTCTCCACATGAAACCTATATGTAGTCCCATTTGCAGTAGGTATGTGAGTGATGCTTAGAATTCAACACAGGCCCTTAAGCATACTAAGTGAGCACTTTACCACAAGCTACAAACCAGCTGTAATAGCATGATTCATCACTAGTAAGTGCCAAAACTCTAGGGCAAGACTGGCTGGCTTCAAATCTAGGTTTTTTTTTTTTTTTTTTTTTTTGGTTTTTCGAGACAGGGTTTCTCTGTGGCTTTGGAGGCTGTCCTGGAACTCACTTTGTAGATCAGGCTGGCCTCGAACTCACAGAGATCCGCCTGCCTCTGCCTCCCGAGTGCTGGGATTAAAGGCATGTGCCACCAACGCCCGGCTCAAATCTAGTTTTACAATACTTAGTAATTAGATCTTAGACAAATTACATACATTATTTGACTCTGACTTTCTCCTGTTTATGATGACCCCAGTAATAGACTCTATCACCCAAGATAATCCAAATAATGTGATTTATACTTAATTTTCTAAAATCATATGAACTTCACTTAACAGAGGAGTGCAGCAAGTTTTTTACTTGATCCTAATAGTGTATAACTAATAGAAAATTGTTTTGAATTTTGGATCTAATGTAACTCAGTGGTAGAACACTGCTAGTGCAAGACAAGGTAGATTTGTATCTTAAGTTACTTGGAAAATAGACTAAAAATAGCATATTTGGTTTCTGTCCAATAACCGTTATATAAGCAAACATGATTTTCTTTAGTATGTGTGTGGGTGTGTGAATCGCTTTGAATTATGGACCACCATGAGCTATAGTATTCTTTTTTTTTTAATTAGTGCTGGTTCTGCTGTTCCTTTGGAAGCCCATGCTTCTTTATTTTAGAAAGAAAATTACCCATCACCCATTTTATGAGATGTTAGAGCTAGTTAGTAAAACACATTATTTATATAGAAAGAGATACAGTAAAATACTGAAACAGAATGATTTTTAAAATCAGGTTTACAAGCAAGTCAGTGGTGGCACACACCTTTAGTCCCAGCACTGGGGAGGCAGAGGCATGCGGATCTCTGTGAGTTCAAGGCCAGCCTTGTCTCCAGAGTGAGTTCCAGGACAGCCAGGACTGTTACACAGAGAAACCCTGTCTCAAAAAACAAAACAAAACAAAAAAGGCCTAGTGGAAGGTCTGTAGGCTGTTGGGATGGTGACCTTAGAAGGAAATGCTGGTCTCTTGCACTGAATTCTGGGGAGAGGAACCTATAAAAGTCTGGTCATGAACCCTGAGTCCCTGCTGCCTGGGTGCCACCAACCATCAGATGTTCACCAGAACCAGTCCGAAACTAGAACCATGACCTTGAAGCTCTAAACTCTGTGCTAAATAAGCCTCAAACTCATAGATCTTCCTTCCTCTGCCTCCCAAGTGTTGGAATCAAAGGTGTGTATCATCACCACCTGACTTGAACTTTCTAATAAGACTCCCAACATCTGAGTTTTAGGGGGAGAGATAGTCAAACCACAAGCAGTGAGAGAACAAAAACAAACTCATATATTCCTAAGCTCCTTTGTAAGATAATGTCACTTTTTTTTTTTTTTTTGGTTTTTACGAGACAGGGTTTCTCTGTATTGTTTTGGAGGCTGTCGGTCCAGCCCGGCCTCCAACTCACAGAGATCCGCCTGCCTCTGCCTCCCGAGTGCTGGGATTAAAGGCGTGCACCACCACCGCCCGGCGATAATGTCACTTTTAATGTAGAAAGGTATTTACTTTTTATAAGTATGAAGGTTTTGCCTACATTATACATGTGTGTAGTGTGTGTGCCTGGTGCACCCAGGGGTCAGAAGAGGGCCTTGGAGTAAAGAGCTAGTTGTGAGTCACTGTGTGGTGCTGGGGATTGAACCTGGAGATGTTCTTAGCCTCCGAGCCATCTCTCAAGATCACTTGTGTGATAGTTTCTCTTAATGTTGGTTTATCTTACATCCACAGAATTAAGAAGAAGGATGAAATAATTTGTGTGCATTCTATCTATAGAGGACCAAGTGCCAAGATTTCTTCTCTCAGGCGTTTTGTAGTCAAGAGCATAAATTATAGGGAGACCTGCACCAAAGACGTCAGGATGTGATACAGGATGCTGTGGTTCTGTCAAAAGACCATGGAGAGTAAGGCTGGGATGGTTTATCACTCTTTTCTCACCCTCCTTCCCAGGGCCTCGTGCCTCCCAGGTTGGCCTTGAACCTGAACTTACTCCTTATTCTCCTGCCTCCACATCCTACGTGCTGAGCTGTAGCTGTGTGCCATCATGCCCATTGATGAGGTCAGGGCTTTGTGTGTCCTAGGCTAGCACTCTACCAACTGAGCCACAACCTCAGCACTTGGCCTGGTTCAGCATTTCTAAGCTTTCAGTTTAACTAGTTCACAAGACTTGATTCTGCATGTGTTAGAATGGCTGCTTCATACCTTACAGTTTCTTCCACCAAAGAAAGTTGGGTTATTATCTGAAATTCAGAACGTCTAGGAAGTTTTTCACAGCTGTAAATCCTTGAGGTTACTCATTTGTTAGGCTGCAGACATGGCTCATGTGGGTAAAAGCCCTTGTCACAAACGTGAAGATGTGAGTACCCATATAAAAATCTGGGCGTTGGGGGCTGTAGAATTGCTCAGCAGTTGACAGGGTACTAGTCTTTCAGGAACCCCAGTAGATTCCCAGTACCTCTGTCACTCCAGCTCTAGGGAGATCTGACTGCATTTGGCTTCAACGGGTACCACACATATGTGTGCTACCACACACATAGTTAAAAATTATAAAAACAAATGTTTTAAAATAACCTGAAATTTTGTTGGGCAGTGTTGGCACACGCCTTTGATCCCAGCACTTGGGAGGCAGAGGCAGGCAGATCTCTGAGTTTGAGGCCAGCCTGGTCTGCAAGAGCTACTTCCAGGACAGCCAAGGGTACACAAAAGAAACCCTGTCTTGGGAAAGAAAAACAAAAGCAAAACAAAAATGAAATTTGACCAAGCAGTGGTGACTCATGCTTTAATCCCAAAGTTACATAGTGAGACCCTGTCTCAAAAAACAAGCAAAAAAGAATTCTGTAAGTAATTGCCAGCAACATTTCTTCACTTTGGCTTATTGGGAAGAAATTCAATTTCAGGTTTTGGGGAAATGCTTTAAATGTGATGCTTTGGGAAAATCTGAAGAATTTATGAATACACATCATTGTGAAGATTGTGTATTGTTGTGTGTGGAATTATGTTTTTGTTTTTGAGACAGGATCCATGTAGTCTAGGCCAGCCTTGAATACCTGACCTGCCCGCTTCTACTCAAGTGCTAGGCTTCCAGGCTTGAGCCAACATACCCATCCCTTTTTAAGGTTTTATGACTCCTGTATTCAGTGACAAAAGAAATGATTGGACTGAGTCAACTCTGTGAAAGCAGCACCTGTCTAAACCATCTCTCCAGCCCCCAGTCCTGAACTCTATCGTCCTGCCGGTCTCCTGAGTTCAGAGATAAGAGGCCATGCCACTAGTTTGGCTTCCTATGTCAGCTCTTCACATATAAATTTGACAAACAGTTTTAGCTTTTTTTCCTATTTAAAAAAAAAAAAGATATAGGATTTCTCTGTGTAACAGTCTTAGCTGTCTGGACCTTGCTCTGTAAGTCCGGCTGGCCTGCTTCTGCCTCCTGAATGCTGGCATCAAAAGGCATGCACCACCACGCTGGACTTTTTCCTTTATCTTTAAACATCAAAAGCCTAGATTCCAGTTACATTGCCGTGAGCATTCCGGAATTTTTGTTTTTGAGACCGAGTCTCACTTTGCAGTCCTGGCTATACTACATAAACTAGGCTGACCTCAAACTCAGGGAGATCTGCTTGCCTCTGCCTCCTGAGTGCCTAGATTAAAGGTTATGGACCAGTAGGCCCAGCCTCAGCAGTTGTTTTAAATTTAAATGATAGTAATGAACAAAGTTGTGCCATATGGATGACGTTTGACCCTAGCTTTTCAGAGTTACAGAGCTTGATACTAAATTTTACTACAGTTGTTTTGTTGTCTTCACAGTCTGACTATGTAGGCAGCTAACCTGGAGCTTGCAGTGGGAACCTGTCTGGATCCTGGACCGCCTGGCCTCAAATTCACATTATTTTGTTTTCCAAGCTCACTTTGTTTTGGTTTTCATCACAGTCCAGGTGTTTTCTTTCTCTGACTGTGAGCCCTTGGGTCTGTAAATCGCCTCCTGTGGAGACTGGTGTCCAATGACTGAGCCAGCTGTGGGTGTTCAGCTCAACAGCTTGCTCCTGCTTGGCTGCTCAAATCCTAGTGCGAAGTGTTGGCTTCGACAGAGACAGGACTGTTGGTAGCCTGCTTTAACCTTGACATACTGCTGCTTTTTTTTTTCCTGTAGTTGCCAAAGTTCATTGGTGGTGTTTTTTTGTTTGTTTTATTTATTTTGTCTTATGTGTATATGTGTACTATGTATACTCCTGGTGCCTGCAGAGGCCAAAAGTGAACATTGCATTGGATCCCCTGGAACTAGAGTTACAAACAGTTGTGAGCTGCCATATGGTTGCTGAGAATTGAACCCAGGTCCTTTGAAAGAACAGCCAATGCTTTCAAGCACTGAGTCATCTCTCTAGTCCCCTGTCAGGTTGTCATAGAGTCTGATGAATTTAAAACTTTGAGGTCACTATTAAATTCTCCTGTCACTTACTTTGGGAGGAGACAAGAGTGGTATTCACAGTCAAGCCTGTTTCCATCTCATTCTGGGTGACTCCTGTAGCACACAGAAAACTTTGTTTCTTCCTGAAAATGACACATTAGTGATTCATTGTTTTCTGTGGGAAGAAGCTGATGACCTGCCCTTTTCTTTTTTCCTTCCAGAGAGAATTTGGGAAAGTGACAAACAAAATACCATTTCTGAAAGAAGGCTTTGGGTGACAGAAGTTCTGGATCACAGGTAAGTTTGGATACTTTGGTGGTGATTTTCCATAATCTCCAGGTGCATGGGAGAGGAAAGGGGTTGAGAATGCAGGTGGGCTTTGTGTCCAGTGCTATATTAGGGGCTTAACACGTGACACGGATTCTAGGCATAGATGTGACTACCTTGGGGGTAAAATTGTACTTTAAAATGCTGTTTTTAAAGATGGATATGGTGGCAAACGTAATCTCAGCATTCTAAGACTGAGGTGGAAAGATCTTGAGTTCAAAGGTCAGCCTAGGCAACATTTGACCCTCTGAAAAACAAAACAAATAAAAAATAAGAGCCAGGCATGCTGGTGCATGCCTTTAATCCCAGCACTGGGGAGGTGGTGGATCTTTGTGAGTTTGAGGTTAGCCTGGTATACATACTGAGTTCCAGACCAGCCAAAGCTACATAATGAGACCTTGTGTCAAAAACAAAACAAAATAAAACAACAACAACAAAAAAATGATGCTTTTTAGTGAGTTTGCTTGCCGGTTGGATTTATTACTCTCATAGATCAGTTTAGCATACTCCTTATATCTATCATTAAAAGAGATATTTGTTATAAGAGCTTCCATTGTGGGCTTTTTAAAGTAAAACCAGGGTTTGCTCTGTTGTGTGACCTAGCAGGGATTATTCTTTGGTTCCTTTCTCTGTTAGTGTTTATCATAGCCAGTTTTTGACAGCTGTAATTTTATAATTACTTTTGAAAAAATTTTGAAACAGGGAAGTTCTCACTATGTATCTCTAGCTATTCTGGAACAATTTTTGTAGACCAGGCTGGCACTGAACTCACAGAGATCCACCTGCCTCTGCCTCTCAGGTATTGGGATTAAAGGCTTGTGTCACTACTCTTGACTTCTTTAATTACTTCAATATTTTTGTTAGCTGGTCTAAAACTTAAGCTTTCTAATAAAGTGCCTCTTCACAATGGAGTCCAGCCCAAGGGTCACTCTTATGTTCTCAGTGGTAACTCTGGCTGGACCAGAGACCTACCCTAGTGCATTATTTTATGTATCGCACAGTGTCTAGGTGTCCCATAACACACTATTATATGTAAAAAAAAAAAAACCACAATGCTACATCTGAGAAATAATCAATAAACTAGGAAATCAAACAAGACCTTCTATGTGCAGACATGGAGTAAGGTGTGCTGTCTCTCCTAAAGCTGTTAGAGTGAGGAGTGATTGTATTCTAACATTTGTTCTACTGTGGGTCCCTAAAAATACTATGAATTAAAATTTACATTGTTAAGGTTTGATTATTTGTTGGGGCCAGGCACCAAAAATAGAAAACTATTTTTAGCATTTGTTGACTTCCCCCTGCTTGGTACTTTTCCACATACCAGGGCAAACCAATCCCATCACCATGAGTTGGAGCTTCCTGACTCGGCTGCTAGAGGAGATCCACAACCATTCAACATTTGTAGGGAAGATCTGGCTCACTGTGCTGATTGTCTTTCGAATTGTCCTGACTGCTGTGGGAGGAGAGTCCATCTACTACGATGAACAAAGCAAGTTTGTGTGCAACACAGAGCAGCCGGGCTGTGAGAATGTCTGCTATGACGCCTTCGCACCGCTCTCCCACGTGCGCTTCTGGGTGTTCCAGATCATCCTGGTTGCAACTCCCTCTGTGATGTACCTGGGATATGCTATTCATAAGATTGCCAAAATGGAGCATGGTGAGGCAGACAAGAAGGCAGCTCGGAGCAAACCCTATGCCATGCGTTGGAAGCAACACCGGGCTCTGGAAGAAACGGAAGAGGACCATGAAGAGGATCCTATGATGTACCCAGAAATGGAGTTAGAAAGTGAGAAAGAAAATAAAGAGCAGAGCCAACCAAAACCTAAGCATGATGGCCGACGTCGAATTCGGGAGGATGGGCTCATGAAAATCTATGTGTTGCAGCTGCTGGCCAGGACTGTGTTTGAGGTGGGCTTTCTGATAGGACAGTATTTCCTGTATGGTTTTCAAGTCCACCCATTTTATGTGTGCAGCAGACTTCCTTGTCCTCACAAGATAGACTGCTTTATTTCTAGACCCACTGAAAAGACGATCTTCCTCCTGATAATGTATGGTGTTACAGGCCTCTGCCTACTACTTAACATTTGGGAGATGCTTCATTTAGGGTTTGGGACCATTCGAGACTCACTAAACAGTAAAAGAAGGGAGCTTGACGATCCGGGTGCTTATAATTATCCTTTCACTTGGAATACACCATCTGCTCCCCCTGGCTATAACATTGCTGTCAAACCAGATCAAATCCAGTACACTGAGTTGTCCAATGCTAAGATTGCCTACAAGCAAAACAAAGCCAATATCGCCCAGGAACAGCAGTACGGCAGCCATGAGGAGCACCTCCCGGCTGATCTGGAGACTCTGCAGCGGGAGATCAGGATGGCTCAGGAACGCTTGGATCTAGCAATCCAGGCCTACCATCACCAAAACAACCCCCATGGTCCTCGGGAAAAGAAGGCCAAAGTGGGGTCCAAATCTGGGTCCAACAAAAGCAGTATTAGTAGCAAATCAGGGGATGGGAAGACCTCCGTCTGGATTTAATCTTGGTTGGGCTTAAAACTTGGGTTTTCATAGTTTATGGTAAGCAGCGACTCGCTGAATAATGACTTCCATTGAGTAAACATTTGGCTCTGGTTATCTTCAGGGATGCTGTTGGCTCATGATCCAAACTCAGGGGACTCTGAAGGTGGAGCTGTGATGAGTGGGGAGAGGGAAACACAGTGTTCCAGGCACATGTTCTCAGCAGTGATATAGTTGCAGAACCTTACGTCGTGTCTTCCAGATCCAGAGAGGAACAGATATATTTAAATCATTCTGTTGAACAGTTTTTGTATGTACAGTATTATGGTACTTTTTTTAGTATGATAACATTTTTTGTATTTGTACATTGGACTGCTGTAGTTATACTTTTTTTATATTAAAGGGAAAAATCCTTGTAAATAATGCCTGTTAAAAGCTAGTGTTATTACTTTGTTTAGCAAATGTTACCTTGTGATTAGAGTTGTAGATGCTACACTTAATAAAAGTGCCTCTTGTGTTTCGGGAAAGATTTAAGCTACATAGGAAAACTGAGGGAGAAATACCAGTTTTCAAGTTCTTGGAAGAAGATCCCTATCAGAAAGAGGTTGAGATCTTTCTTCCACCCAAGAGAGCTTAGAATCTCCTTCCTGTGACCAGAGGTGTAGCCATTCTTGGAAAATGTTTCCAAAGGAAGTAAATCGGTCACTACAGGTTTCCTTTAAACTCCCAGCATGGCTACTGTGTGCTTTGATGGTGTGTCTGACTTAAGTTCTTCTCAAAGACTGATAAGCAAAGGTGTTCCTGGTCAAGTAGCAGTGTGGAGCACCAACAGCTGTGACAGTGCTGTGATGTAAGTAAGGCATGCCTGGAGAATGAACCCTGGCAGTAAGTTAAGTTGTAAAGCTGTTCTGCTTGCCTGGAGTCTCTGTCTAGAAACGAGACTCTCTGGTTTCTGAAGAAACTGATCATGAATATTTTCTATATTTGTTAACATTAAAGATAGAAGCAAAAATTATCTGTTTGATTAAGAATACTCAAAGCTGCTTGTACTGAAAATGGCAAAAGGCCTAAATCCATATGCTTTATTTTAATAGTTTGGTGTGAAATGCGTATGGTTCACCCATGTCTGCCAATGTGGTTTTCTGTATGAGTGGCCGTTCCTCAAGATGAGTTTGGTATTTATTCCTTGTTAGCATATATATGTATTTGTTAATGGCAAGGATTAATTAATGTTCATAAAACTAGTAATTTGCAGTGTTTTGCCATCTTCGGTCTTACACTACATTGGAGAGCTTTGTCCCTCCTGTCACATTCATGGTTTGTCTCGAAAGTTTCTGCACACAGCCCGGTAAGGTAAAGCAGAGCTTTTGGTCCAGCAGTGAGCCTTTCACGTGGGTGTCCTGTTCTTTCTAATAGACAGTTTCTGCAAGCCACCTCTCATTTTGAAGATCTGCTTCTGGTTTGAAATGCCGATCCTCTGTTATTAGGACGCTGGACACTGTGTGCTCGCTGTCGCCTGTCCCTTCCCCAAGCCCACCTTACATTTGCTTTTTAAAAGCTCTTTAAACTTTACCCTAGAGTAGATCCTCCTCATCTCTAACCTTTTAGCAAGTTAAAGGGGACTTTTCAGAAAATAATATATTCTTATGTTCCATGAGCAATTAATATGTATACAGGCCTTCCAAACCAATTCATTAATAGGGAAACGCATATAATTCTTATAAGACAGGCAAGATTTTAACCACTGAAGTCTAGCTAAGATAACCCAGTTCTCGAATTGCTAGCTCATTCAGCAGATTTTTTTTGTGTGTGTTTTTTTGAGACAGGGTTTCTCTGTATTGTTTTGGAGGCTGTCCTAGAACTCACTCTGTAGACCAGGCTGGCCTCGAACTCACAAGATCCGCCTGCCTCTGCCTCCTGAGTGCTGGGATTAAAGGCATGCGCCACCAACGCCGGCGCTGGGCTCATTCAGCAGATTTCTTTTTTTTTTTTTTTTTTCCTTTTTTTTTTTGGTTTTTACTAGACAGGGTTTCTCTGTATTGTTTTGGAGGCTATCAGTCCAGCCAGGCCTCGAACTCACAGAGATCCGCCTGCCTCTGCCTCCCGAGTGCTGGGATTAAAGGTGTGCGCCACCACCACCCGGCTTCAGCAGATTTCTTAATTGAAGAACAGAAAATGTGTACACACTCCCAGCATCTGCCCAGAGCCTAAGGGACAACAGAGTGGGCTGCCAGCGGAAAGGTTGGGAATCAGAGCGATGAGGGAAGGAGTCAAGCAGAAATGCCAGAAAGAACCAGGCAAAGGCACTTGGTGCCAGGAGTGTCCTGGTTCCCAGCAGTGCCCCTGGTGTTTCGTCTTGACCCATTATAATGAGAACCGTATCTTTCTTGCTCGCTAATTCTTCAGCTTGTCAAAGTCTACAGAAAGTTACTCTGGGTCACCTTGTACATTCACTGTAAAGTTTATTTTTTCCCTCTTGGTAAAGCTTTGATCATGACAAGGATTTCCCAACTCCCAATGCCTTTGTAGCATATTTCTTTCAGCTTTTGGACACAGACTTTTCCTCATATTTTATGGACCTACATTAAGAAAAATGATCCTGGGGCTGGAGAGATGGGTCAGCAGTTAAATGCACTGGTTACTCTTCTAGAGGATGGGTTCAAAGCCCAGTGTCCACATGGCAGCTCACAACTAGAAACTTCAGTTCCAGGGGGTCTGACGCCGCCTTTTAGCCTCTGCAGATACTGCATGCATGTGATACACAGACATGCATGTAAGCAAAATACTCGTGCACATAAAATAATAGTGAATATACCTTTAAAAATAAAAAATTATTTTTCAAAGAAGTCATGTTTTTAAAGAAGAATGAAATGCTCCCGTTAGTGTCTGGCTTAATCTGTTGAGAATCTGTCAAAAGTGTTTTAGCAAATGGCAGTTGAGTGCTCAGTCCTGCACACACCAGCAAAGGGTGGAAGTCCTGATGAGCTTGCTTTCCCAGACTGCTGCAGCACTGATTCAAATGCGTGCCTACCTGGTTCTGCCAAAAGCTTGTAGTCAGAAGAGATGCGTAGAAGAGCAGGCTCTGCTGGGTGGTGGTGGTGCACGCCTTTAGTCCCAGCACTTGGGAGGACAGCCAGGGCTACAGCCACAAGAAACCCTCTTGAAAAACAGACAAAAACCAAAAGCAGGCTTGCCTTTCTTTCTACAGGTAGGAGAATGAATGAGGTTTGCCATGTGCCCCTAAAGTAACATTACTGTTCCTTTGCCCACTTTGCCCTTGCTTATGATTTATCTTTGCCTATTTCTTCTCTCATTCTCTTCCTGTTACCTCCCCCTGACCCCCCAGTTTTGGTTTTTGAGACAAGGTCTTGCCGTGTAGTCCTGGCTGACCTCAAATGCAGCAGCAGTTATCCCTCGGCCCCTCAAATGCTTGGATTGCAGGCATACACCGTCAACGACTGCTGTGCTTGTCAATTTAAAATCAGGTATTTATTTCAGCTGAAGGTTTTTTGGTTTTTGGTTTTTTTGGTTTTTACGAGACAGGGTTTCTCTGTATTGTTTTCGAGGCTGTCGGTCCAGCCTGGCCTCGAACTCACAGAGATCCGCCTGCCTCTGCCTCCCGAGTGCTGGGATTAAAGGTATGCGCCACCACCACCCGGCACAGCTGAAGTGTTTTTTAGTGATTTGTTTTTCTTACCTATAAAATTGCTTTTGATAAGAATGAACTTTGAAGCTTGAGGGTGTGTTAGGGTCGGTGGCAGTACCTGTTTAGTATGTCTGGGTTTGGTCCCAGCATCAGTACCAACTTGGCCTTCTAAAACAGTGCTCATATGTCAGGGTTTGGATATAACCATCTTTTAGAGGAGCAGGATTAAAGGCCTGTGCCACCACACCTGACTGTGCTTCCTCTTTAAATGGAGGCAGTCCCATTATTAGGCATCTTAACTGGTACTCATAGCAGGAAATTGGGAACATCAAAGGTGATTTTTTAAAAAAAACTGTTGGGACTGGAGTTCAGCTCAGGTAAAATGTTTGCTTGGTATGCATGAGGCTCTGGATTCAATCACCAGGTTTGGGGAGCAGGACTGCAAACCAAAACAACCATTAATTGGGTATGTTTGATCTTGGACCTTCAAAACCATGGTCAAACTGAGGTGCTGAGGTGTATTGGCGTTCTTCATGTCATGGTCATCTACGAGGGCTTGGAAGGCTTATTTAAACCAAGAATGGTTTATTTCTGTTGGGCCTCTGTTTGCATGTCCAATTTCTATGTGCGCATGTTTTATGCTTATGTCTTTTGAGAGGTGGTCTTCTAAAAATAACATGTGTGGATGCTGCTACATTTTATGCCAGCCAGCTTTCAGTAAAAGGTAAAAGGTTTCATCCTTTAATGCCTTCCAGTTAGGAAGAAAAAAGTTTTTCTAAGATTTGTTTTATGTATTCAAGTGTTCTGTCTGCATGTGTGCCTGCATACTAGAAGAGGGCATTGATCCCACTAAAGGTGGTTGGGAGCCACCATGTGGTTGCTAGAAATTGAACTCAGGACCTCTGGAAGAGCAGCCTCTGAGCCATCTCTCCAGCCCCTAAGGACTTTATGTTTTTAAGATAACTTAAATGTAGAGTCAGCTGTTGGTGAGCAGTCTAAGCAGTCTAATGTCATGTGGCGTGAAGCTTGGATGTTGCATAAACAGCTAAGGAGTAACCTGTGTTAATGCTAATGGTCACCCATTGATCTGTATAGTCTAAATTTCCCATGCCAGAGGTAAGCACTGTGCCTGCCTGCTGGTCTTGGTATCCGGGGCGGTTTAGTCAGTTCAAAATACAGCGTAGAAGATTCCTCTGTGACCTGCTCATTCTCTCAGAAAACTAACTGGTTGACAGCCAGGGTGTCAGGAGGTGCCACCCAGTGTTTACCCTCATGATTTGTAGAGAATTGTACCCAAAGAGCTTAATGGCTAACACAGAAAACTGATGTAAGAAAAGGATCTCTTCCTCCATTCTGCAAGTGTGGTAATAGAGGAGTGTAGAGGTTTCTTACTACTCAGTTGGACTGCAGGGAGGCCCTTTTTCATGGCAGGGCTGGAGCTCCTCTGGAACTCTTAGATGGATTGGCATATTTGTGCCACAAACTGGGAGGAATAGGTCACCTTGTGTGACATAAGAAGAGGTCATGCTTTTAGCTCAGGAGCTGAGAACGGGCTCCCGTCTTTGGGTCCCTTTGATTCATAGACGTTTTATAAGAGGAGGCGGCCGAGGGCTAATCCTCCTTTGAAAGGGGAGGATGAGAGAGTGGAGCATCAATCTCCAACAATTCTCTTGGTTCCCTGAGAGCAGACACAGGAGAGTTGACTGGTTGCACACAGGGCCCCACCCTCAGCAGCACAGACTGTAAACTAGTCAGCCAACCATATTTGGTAATAAACTTGTGAGCCATTTAAAGCTGTTGGAGCGGCTAAGTCATTGACTCTGCTTTAAAAATGGATCTTTGGTAGATTTGCTGTCAGACGAGACATACCTAAAGAAGGTA